GTCTGCGGTGCTGGAAATCACTTCTGCACATGCCCAGAAGCCCAAAATTGTGCCTGCGCAGAAGCAATTTCCGGAGCCGCGGAAGAGAGTCCCCACACTGTGCTGCGACGGTTTAGGGACTCACCAAGTAGGCAGCTTAGTTCGGCGACGGCTTGGGGGCCGGTTAAATGGCCTCTGCGGGCTGCTTCCGGCCCATAGGCCTTAGGTTGCCGACCCCTGCTCTAACGACCAGCACCCGTGTAGCCAGTCCTGTTTGGTTCAGTTGCAGGATCCACAGCTAAGACATGGGACTCTCAGCGTTGGAACAGCTTTAAGGGCTCCCTGTCGGGCAGATCAGGGAGCATGTGGGCTGCATGCTATGACACAATGGGACCCTTGTGCTCCTCGTGTGGTGGGTGAAAGGTTGATGCTGAATTCTGATGCAGAGATGGGAACAGAGTTTCTCTGAGAGCAGTGAGAGTCTTGCATCTGTCACCAAATAGGGGATGGGCTCCTTAAAGAAAAGCAATGCAGGAATCTCAACTAAGTCATCCATGAGGGATGGCTATCCAACCTCTGCTTGAAAACCTCCAAGAAAGGAGATCTCACCACCTCCCAAGGGAGTCCATTCCACTGTCAAACAGCTCTTGCTGTCAGAAAGTTTAGTGGGAATCTCCTTTCTCGTAAGTTGAAGTTCCTTTCTCTCAACTTTGCGCTGGACTAGCAGTGATGTTGGTTATTATACTGAGATGGCACAGTTGACTCAAGGGGTCACCAAGCACTGTATGGAGCTTTCTTTTTCTGAACTCATCTTGCCTCTGTTTTGGCAGTACCTGTGCTAAACGACTTTTAAACAAGTCAGACTTCAGTATGAGTGTGTGGACCCTCTTCTGGAAATGTCAGATTGCTTGGCCAGGGCTTGAATGCCATTGGCTAAATTGCTTGGTATGTGAAGACAACTTGAGGATTATAGAATATGGGTTGGGAAGATGCAGAGAAAAGATCACGGTTGGCTTAGCAGCTGTCCACTACAATCCAGCAAGGATGCAGTGTGCCTGAGGAGACTAAATCTAGAATCCTATGTGTGCTTACTTGTGAGTAAAGTACACAGTAGGAATTAATTCTGATTAGATATCTGGAGGATACACATCTGGGAACAATATCATCAGCTGAGAAGCTGCTAGCATCATACATCCCTCAGTTAATTAATAGACAAATCCTTTTTTTTTTTTTTACACCAGGTTGCAGCATGCAGATTTTTCCAGCAGTGTACCAGGGGAGTTCTGCTGGCATGCCATTCTGTTGGCATAACTTCCATCTCCTCCAGCGAAGCACCAGAAGACCGCTTTCTCGGCCACTGTAATTCTAGTACTATATAGGATTGCACCCTAAATCCCCAAATCACAAAGGGAATTTGGGACAAGTTGTTACTGAACTAGCTTCCTCCCAGGAGAAATGTATAAAGATGGGCATCAGACTGTTGCTTCTGAATCAGATCCCAGGCATGGCCAACGCCAAGGGAGCAATCATATGGCTAAAATGAAACTGAATGGAGGTTCTCAAACACCATCTGCAGGCCTGCCTGCTTGTTTAACTGTGTTTTAAAGCCTTTGATTTGAACTGTTGTGATTTTAAGGTTTTTATGGTTTTTAGTGCAAGTCACCTTGGTTTACCTTGCAGAAAATGGAGCCAACAAATACAGTAATAAGCTGTTTTGCCAATTAACTCTGCTGGCTTTTAAAGGATCTTTAGTCAATATATGAGGGGAAATATATTTTTATTTGAACAGGATAGGAAAACCTCCTCCAACAGCAACAACCAAAAGCCCTCAAACAGTAAACCTTCTTACAATGAGAAATAACCCGAAAGGAACTGTTCCCCCCACCAGACCTTCACCCTCATACAACACAAGCTCCAACCCTGAGAAGCCTCAACGGAATTTGGTCTATCACCCTCTTCCCCCTGACCACATTGCCCTGTATTATTTATACCTGCCTCAACCAGGTGGTGCTGGATATCTTCACAGCCACCACCTGTGGCTCCTAATCAGGGCGATGAAGCCCCAGCTGGGCCACCCCTGAAGGCAGCAGTGCTCCTGCAAGGACTCACAGGAAGGGTTGGCTGCGTAAGGCCAAACCTACACCTCCTTGGTTTTCCTTCCACATTTTCTACTACATAAGCATAGTAATAATAATTCTCATTATGCCAAGGACTGCTGCCACAAAACACCTTGCCTTCAGCACTCCTCTCACAATGCACTTTGATTCCACTATTCTTCTCATTCTTCTGTGACTCAGCAAGGTAAGGCACCAACTCCCTTGCAGTTTGTCTCTTTGCTTATTGAATTAGGGTCATTCTTAGTTCAAAAGTACATGGATGTACGAACCAGCCGCCTAACATGCACCTATATAAGCACCCAATGCTTTTTTCTAAAAAAATGTTTAAGGGTACTGTCGTTTTCCTACTCATATTGAAATATTGCCCCTCAATTAGGCCAAACTTAGATTCAAACTTAAAACTAATTTCCAAATGCTATATTCAGATAACCTGCCAGGTTCTTTATTTGGTGCTTCTTATCTCTAAAACTAGCCTTGCTAGTGACCTTATTGAAATTCTGACAGCATAGTGACAACAAGGGCCCAGGTGGATGATAATCTGGTCCAGAACTCTTGCTGTTGCATGCAAAGTGCCAGTAGCTTCATCCTGATCAAGGAAAGTGTGGATCGTGGCTATTAATGGTGAAAAGATTTGGGCTGGAGGACCTTAACTGTGGAGCTAACCCTGAGAGACAAACAGTGGTACACACTGTATCTTGAACACATACTGATGAGAGTATGTTCCATATAGTGTTGTCCTAGTTGTCAGGAATTCAGAGGCAAGGAATACAATGGAGTAGGGTAGCTAGAATGTGGTGGGAACAATGGCCTTTCCCCCAAAACATTGGAAGCTGTGTTGTACAGCAGTCTTCCCCAACCTTGGGCCTCCAGCTGTTTTTGGACTACAACTCCCATCATCCCTCGCTAGCAAGACCAGTGGTCAAGGATGATGGGAATTGTAGTCCAAAAACAGCTGGAGGCCCAAGGTTGGGGAACACTGTTGTACAGGATCAAGCTTACTGGCCCATTTGGACAGCTGTTTTCCAGGGTCTTAGGCAGAAAGTCCCCTACAGCAGGCTTCCTCAACCTCAGCCCTCCAGATGTTTTTGGCTTACAATTCCCATGATCCCTAGCTAGCAGGACCAGTGGTCAGGGATGCTGGGAATTGTAGTCTCAAAACATCTGGAGGGCCGAGGTTGAGGAAGCCTTTCCTATAGACTCTTGTAGTGAGTGCTGGGGGGGAATGTTGTATCCTTCAACAGAAGCACAACCTCAAATGATGACATCTGGAATACACCTAAAGAGTAAACACCATGTCCTTGTTTTGCAAGCAACTGATTATCTGAACGTAGGAAGTCTGGAGAGCAGCATCCAGGCCCATTCAAATGGGTGGGCATTGCACAAGAGCAGGATTGTGGTCTTGTGCAGGCTCTGTTCATTCGAGAGATGTTTTCACAGGAGAAATCCTTGCCAGACTATATTCCTTGATAAGGGAGGGAGGGAGTGGTGTCACTTGGAATTTTTCTTCTTCTACATCTTGGGGTGATACTGCTCCCTTCTCTGCTGTTTTCCTAAGGACTTTTCCAGACAACCAGTTGCTTGCAAAACAAGAGCATCATCTGTGCTCTTTTATGGTAAGGTATCCAAATGCCTTTCTTCAACTTTGCTTGAGATTATGGAATAGACCCATTTCGCCAGCACTCGGGACTGTCAATATTTTGTTGCTGGGGAAATGCTGGTTTTTTCTCCAGATAGAGTGCATTCATTGTGATTGCAATTATTGTGTGCAATGTGGCTGTGTAACTGTCCCCGGGACCTTTGGGAGGGTGCCTATGCTGTGAATAATTATGGAGGGCAAAATTGCACCCCCCACCCTGAAATGAAACACTGTGGCCCTTTCTTTTACATGAATAAAAACAGAGGCATGATCCAACTAGAGCTGAAGTCCGGTTATTTTTGTAGGTGACTTAAGAATAGGGTGAAAGGTGGTGGGTTCCATAGGCATAGTCAGATTTATGAAGGACACCCACCTGTCATCACCCTATGTCTGGCTTAGCCGGTTTGCCAGTTGCGTTGCTAGAATGCACCACAACCTCATCCAAGTGATCCCAGCGAGCAATTCAATTTCAAATATTCTGATTATTTATACTTTTTATTTATCTACTTGATTTAGGTGGGGCAGCTGCCCCCTACCCCCCTAGCTATGCCCATTATGGGCTCCTACACCAGGCTCTCCCAACTTGGTGCCCTGAGATGCCTTGGACTACTGGCATGGTATGTGGTCAGGGATGATAGGAGCTGTAGCCCAAGAGGGCACCAGGCTGAAGTTGTTGTTGTTGTTGTCTATTGCATTTATATCCCACCTTTTTCCTCAAAGAAGCTCAAGGTGGCATACATGATTCTTCCCCTCCTAATTTAATCCCTGCAAGAACCCTGTTATGTACTGAAGTTCTCACCCTGGGCCAGCAGGGGGATACTATAGTTTTCACTCAGGTCCACATATGCAAACAAGGAATTGAAAGTGACGTTCAGTGATTGGATAGTTACAGAAAGTTGTTACTGTTGTGTTGTAGTGGAGCTCTATATAAGCAGGCTGGCTGAACCCTTCAGTTCAGTTCAGTTCAGTGTCTGTGAATAAACAAGAGCTGTTTGAAGAATCGCTGTGTCATCTCATATGTTCACCCACAACATAACAAACTCTGGGAAGAAGGTGAAGCAGAGGGGCAGTGACTGGCCCAAGGTCACCCAGGGTCGGCCCCACTGGCTCTTGGGGAGGCTGGGACACTGACAAGGAGCTTTGCCTGACCTTGCCTTGAGAATTTGTTGGTGCATTCATTGGCTGACTGATATATTAATAATTTCTAACCCACCTTTTGGCAAAACCAGGTCTTCCGTCTGCTTTTGTGCAGTAAGCCTAGCTGGGAAATGGGGAACGACGCGTCTCTTTCTTCGCGGCTTCCCCTCCTCTGGCAAGGCCACTGTGGGGAGCCCGCCCCCTTGTCACTTTCAGGCAGCGAGTTCCTGCTAAAGGCGCTTCTGCAGACTTCGGAAGTGCGGAAGCCCCGAGAAGAGAGCCTGTCAATCTCACGCCCTAGCTTTTGACAACAGAAGGAAACTTTAGGACAGGAAAGGAAAAACGGGGCGCATTTAAGTCCCCTCCCCGCTCTGTTTTTATTTATTTATTAAACGGTGCTTTACGATCGTTTCCTTGGAGCAAACTAGGTACCCCCCTTTCTGGAGGTTTAGTGAGGGACTTGGCGAGGGTCGGGCAAAGGAAATGATGTGGTTCTTGCGCGGGTGGGGGGGGGGAGGTGTTTGTGTCACCATTCGCAAGATCCTATGGATAAGCCCTCCTTCCTTCCTTCCTGATCTAAGGGAGCGAGAGTATGTGCGCGTGTCAGTCACATTTTTTTTAACGAGATCTTCTGGATAAACTGAGAATCTAAGCTCGCCACGGCGCACCACGCCCGTCCCTCTCCAAACCATTGTTGTCATTTAGTGAAGGAAGCCAACAGCTGGAGGAGAGATTTCCTGCCTCCCCTCGCCCCCCCCGCCACAAAACGTATCAGGGAGAAAAGGAATAAAAACGCAGGCGAGGGGCTGGTCCAAAGACCTTGGCAGGGGGATCCCCCGACCCACCCACCCACGCAGGCCTACGAGGGGCAGGCAGCTGTCATCAGGAGGACCCACCCCCCCCTCGCCCCAAGACTAGAGGGTTTTCTCAGGCTCTTTTTCTGGATGAGGACGCCTGGCGCTGGACTAAGCAGCTCGCCAGAGCCTTTGAGTTTCTGGAGAAAGCATCAGGGGACGGGGAAAAGGAAAGAGAAAAGGCAGCGCGTGTGTGCGCGCTGGTGTGTCACGTCACGGCCGCCTGGCACCCTCCCTCTCTCCCTCCCTCCCTCCCTCCTTCTCAGACACCGCATAAAGAGCTGGCTGGCGTGTGCCGGAGGGGCACCGAGGGCCCACGTGACCGCCCCTCCCAGTCGGCATCCCCGGGGATCGGCACTTTGTTCAGGATGCTGCCGCTCGCCGCCCCCATTGTGGACTGAAGATCTTGAGCATCGCCGACGCGGAGGGGGCTGGGCGAGAAAGGCCGGCTGGCTGCTGGAGGGGCGGGGGCACCCTTCGCCGTCCCGACGGGGCGCTCGCTGGACTAAAAGGGGGACAGGGAAACGGGGGGGGGGGAGGCGCCGGAGGGGGGTGCTGGGTGAGGACTGGCGGCGGATCGTCTCCCCAAGGCAAAGGAGGGAGCCGAGGCGATGGGCGAAGCGCAGACCGACTAGTAGGGTAAGTGGCTGACTTGGACGCGTGCGCCCAGCCCCGCGTGGATGCTTGTTTTGGGTGGGTGGGTGTCTGCGCGTGTGGTCCTCCAGGGGGCACATGCCGGGTTGGGGGTGGCCCCGCGAGGGAACCCCTCTGCTGCTGTGTCCCTCGAAGGGCCAGCAGGATGCTCTCCAGCCGAGGCATCCAGCCCAGCCCACGGCAGCTCCGCGGAGAGCCTGGCAAGGAGGGGCTGCGCCGGATCCTGGTACATTCTGTTCGGCGGCGCTTGCCAAGCGGACGGAGGTCCAGGCGGGCTGCTTGGCGGGGCTGCTGCGTCCCAGCTGCGCCTCCGAGGGCAGCGTGTCTGCTCCGCGAGACGGTGACTCAGCCTAAGGTCAGCGATGGGTGGGAATTGGGCTGGGAGGGCGGCCCCCTTGCTCTGTCCCGTCCAGGCTGGCAGAACTTGAGAGCACGAGGACGAGCCCGGCTAACTTCTGGAAGATTAGGAGACTTGCAAACTCAGGCTGAGCGGTGGCTGGTGCCTCGGCTGGAGAGCATCCAGGGGCTGGAGGGAGGGAGGGAGACTAACTAACAGCGGAGCTGGAGCCAATGACAGGTCGAGCCAACTAATCCTCGCTTTGTCCTACCCCCTGCTGAGTCCGACAAGGGGACGGAGACCGAGGAGGAGGAGGAGGAAGCAGCAGCTGACAGGCTGGCAACCCCCGGACAGCCTGCAGGTTAGAAGACGGGCAAGCGAGGGATAGCTAATGGAGCAGTACAACAGCCGCCCAGATCACTGCTGAGCATGCAATCCTAAAATATACGCAAGCTGCTGTCATAGCATCATAGAACTGTAGAGCTGGAAGGACCCCAAGGGTCCTTTAACCCAACGCCCTGCAATGCAGGAATCACAGCGAACCCCGCTGACGTGGGCACAAGCCCCACTGAATTCAGGAGGACTTCCTCCTGAGTAGGCTTCGTTAGGCTGGCCGCCTTATTATGATCAGACGCAGACAAGCTGCCTGTATGGGCTGCCCCCCCCAAACTCTGAGTGCTTTCCATCACCTGCGAATCCTCCTTGCCTCCGCCCCTTCTCTCCTGTGTGTATTTGACACTTTCCCCAATTCTGGCTACCCAGTTGTGTCACTCAACAATTTTATTTTGGGCTTGGGCTGCCACACAGGAAAAGCCACGTGGATGTGCAGGAGGGGAGGCTGAGCAGAGAGAAGCCCCCTGGTTCAGCATGGGAGACATACTTCTGCTTCTGTCTTTGATGATTCCCCACCCACCTCTCATGCCAAGGGGGTGTGTGTGCCGGGATTTACTAACTTGGGGTAAATCAAGACAGGATAGGATTTTACCAGTTATAGCTGCTTTTCCGGCAAAGGTAACTTGGGACATCACATTAGAGCAAGTGGCACCAAGATGCTCAAGGTGGAGTACATAATTTTCCCCTTCCCAATTTTATCTTCACAACACCCCTGTGAGGTTGGTTGGGTTGGAAGATGGCGACTGGCCACAGGTCACCCCAATCAGCTTCCTAGCTGAGCTGTGGATTTGAACCCTAGTCTCTTGGTCCAAGTTGGCATCTAGTCACTCCACTCTACTCCATACACTGCACCACATTGGCTCTGCTGCAGCTCTGTACATAAAGTTTTTAGATCCAAGGACAGGAAAGTCCAATATGTCTGCAGTGAATGCATGTGTTGGAAAGATGAACTCATAGCCAGGGATCTGAGACTGACTGTACAGATTGTCACGTATTGTGAGCTGTGCTATTAAGAAAGTTCCTCTTCCCGCAGCACATAGTTAAACTACTGGCTCTTGTAAGAGGCAGTGATGTGCACCAACTTGGTGAAAGGGGATTAGAGAAACACGTGGAGGATATGTGACCACTAGCCACAATGATCTCCGTCTACTGTTGGAGGCAGGCTCTCACATTATTATGGCATTTAGTCTCCTGCAATGTGAACAGCAGGATCATGTAGTTCTGCCCCACAAGGAGGTTTCAGACTTCGCCCCACCTCACTTTGTGCAGAAATCCCTGCTGTTTTCACAATGCATGCACAACAAAGATCTGTCGCTGTTTATTTGTAGCATCCAAAACCCCTCCAGACAATGAGTCTCGTGTGCCAGTGTGGCATCCCCAGTCCTAAACACAGAATGAGCTCAGTTTACAGCCTCCCTTTTTCATCATCAGCTCTACAGGCCAAGAGGATATGAGCTTAAAGCTGGCTTGGCTGATGCTCTCTCTCTGTGTGTGTATTGTCAGAGGCTCCTGAGCATGACACAGGGGAGAAGTCATTTCTGGTAATAGTCTACCAGGAAATAGGCCAAATGGTCATTGGGCTGGGCTGTGGGCGCTAAAGGGGAGGAAGGAGAGTCTGTGTAATCATCAAACGGTATTCCAATTCCTGAGGAAGCTGATAAATCATAAGGAACAAGCATGGCTAACAATGAACGCGGCTCATTCTTCCTTTGGAAATCAGGCTCCCTGTGTTTTGTTTCGGTTTTGTTATGGTATGTGCGTGTGCGTGTTTTACTGCTAGTTTGCTCTGAGCTGGGTTAAGCGGCTTTAGCAAAAAAATGTGGGCTTTGTTGCTGTTGTTACATACATAACAGATACACACCATGCCTCTGATAACAGGCTGCTGTACAGACACACTAAGCAAGAGGCAGTCTGGTCTTCAGAAAATTCAAGGATCCGCATCTAGGAAGCACAGACAAAGAGAAGTAAAACAGCAGGGAGGAGGGGAGCAATGTGTGTCCAAGGACCACCCAGCAGAGGACCAGGCTTTTTTTTGCCTCTTACAGCCAAGCTGGCACGCACCCCTACAAACACCCCACCTGGACTAGGAAGACCCGAAGCTTAATCTTCCAAACCTTGATCATTCTTAGCAGTGAGACATTTGAATTCATTGTTATTAAAATGATCTCTCTTGTTTCTCCAAGCCTGCTGTATTAATTATTTGGATTGCTGGTGACATTGTTGCTGTAATTCGTCCGGAGCCTGCCGGGATAGGGTTGGCAATATATAAATGATGACACGGCTCTCCTTTTATGAAAAAGGGCCGCGAGGTTTATTTGCTCACATTTGCCTAGCCGGGTGAAGCCTTGAAAAGCACAGCAGATGCAACACAATAACCCTTGTTTGTTGAGTGGCAGGCTGGAGGTGGCAACAGCTTGGCACAGCTCCCTAAAGGGAGTGCCCCCTTCCTGCTGCCATGGCTCTTTGGCGAATATCACTCCTGCAGTGCTTGGCTTTTAGCTTGTTTCTGAGCAGATCGGCCTGCCACAGTTTCATCCCGGTGGTCACCTGGGCTTCTTTTGGAACATTCTCTTGGGGAGAAAGGAGAATCTTGGGAGGTTAATTTATGGGAAGTTCAGATGCATATTGAATAGGCTGGTTCTATGTCGGTTGCAGCAGGAAGCTGAATTCAGGCTCAGCGTTTTCATTTCTCAGCTGGGCAAACAGAGGCTTGGAATCCTCCCTTTGCCTTCTTCAAGCTGGCCTTTCCATCATATCGCTGCCAGTAGGAAACTTTGGCAACGCTGCTCTTTAGATCCTTTGGGTGCACCTGTTCTATTGATGGGAATGTTGAGAACGGCCATCTCAGGTTAGAACCAGAATGAGGAAGACCAAGCCATTGGTGGCACTGCAGGAGTGATGCTTACAGACATCAAGAGATCAAGGGGGTTAAGTCACATGGCCAAATTGGCATGTGAAATGTTAAGTGAGTAGGCTGGAGTTGGAGCTGGCCATTGTGTCAGAGCAGCTTTGCTGTATCCCCAGCTCCCAGCTTGGCTTGCACTGCACGGGGTCAGGGCTGCCATGCCTCTCCTGTGGGGCAGAATGAGCTGAGCTTCTGGGAGAAATGCAGTGCTCTTCCATTTAACTCACATCCGGGCTTTTTGGCTTAGTCGTGAATTTGTGCAATAGTAAACAGGAAAAGGTCTAAATGGTGCAAACAAACGTTTGAGAAAGGATCTCTAGATGTTTTGAACCTGAGCGATAGAGCGCCTAATTCTCAGGCAGAAAGTCGCAGGTTCAATCACTGGCATCTTCAGGCTGGGCCAGGAATGTCCCCTGTCCCTGGAATGTCCCTGGAAAACCAGTGTCAGTCAGAGATGACAAAAATGGTCAGACTCAGTATAAGGCAAGTAGAAACCTACCCAACTCTGCTGAGATTAAGGCATAGATGATGAAGAATGTTGCAGGAATCTTTCCCCACTCTGGTGGGGGAGATGTAGCTAGAGTGGGGAAATTGGCTGATTCAGCTCTGAGGAAAGATCAGCATTTGCTGCCCCAAGAGCTGCTTTCTGCGCTATTGATTATCCTGCACTGGAGGCCTCAGAAGGTAAGCAAGCTCATTAGGCCTGCCTAAGCAACACAGAAAGAGGCTGTCTGTTTTAAGTTGGCAAAAACCAGAGGCAGATTCCTGGAAGAGGACCCTGAGAAAGCTAAATGATGTTCCATATTGGACCAGCTCATCAGCCAAGACTTTCTAGCTCTTATTTTAGCCTGGGGCATTGATTCCCAAATGGGGAGTCTGGCCCCATCAGGCAATCATGGGAGACTGTCAGCAATGAGTGCCTGAAATGATGGAGGATAATAGGCTAAATGAGGAGGGAAGTGATGTATTGGCAAGAAGGAAATGTTGAACAGGTGGAGTCCTCAGTACAGTTAAACATTTTAGTAGCAATGGAAAATTTGTTGTATGGAATCCGTAGGGTTGAAGAATCTCTGCTGTTTAGAAGACCTTCAAGCTGGTGTTGTCTTGCTTTCTACTGCCCACTTCCAAGACCAGACCCAGGGGGAGGGAATGGCAGTCCGATCGTATGTCATCATGTTAGCTGCTACAATGTAGGCAGAAGTTGGTTCTGCTGTCTGAAGCTAACATAAAGACATAAAACAGGTATAAACAGAGAACTCCTGGATGCCAACATCCAAGTTTAGGGCAAGTACTCTCTAGTGAGAGAACACCAGCAGAGATTTAAAATCACAAAACATGCAGCAAAGTAAAGTGCGGAAATATAGGCTGTTAGACCATAAAATATGCTCTTGTAAGTTCCTTCCAAAGTTTCCCTCTTCCCCAGGCATTGAAAAAGACAGCATGTTTGGTAAGTTAAAAACGGTTTACTTACAAACTCTCCAAAGGTCAGATTCATACAGCATTCAGAAAATGCAGGCAGTAAAACTTGGCTTAGTTACAGTGGCAAAAGTTCCTAAATTAGTATAGAAACTCAAGAGAGGCTTGTTAGAGCCATGTGGTCTGAGCTTGGATCAACCAGCTCAGACCTCTTCACACACTGAGTTTCTCAGGTAGACTTGATTACCTTCCTCCCAAGGTGATGTAGAGTGACTTTATGGCATTAACCCCTTCCTGCATCAGATGAATTTAAGCCTGTTGGTCCTATGAAGCTGGTTATTCCCACAGATCTCAGGGGTGTGTGGGTGTTTCCAAAATCACATACAGTATAAATAAAAAAATAAAAGTAATGAAATTTCAATCCATATGAAAAGTCAAATAAAATTATTTTGGGGGGGTCAGGTTTTAAAGGGGATTATTAGGTTAGCTAAAAAGGTGGTGTTGGTTTAAAAAGGTTGAGAAACACTGCTGTAGTAATAATAATAATAATAATAATAATAATAATAATAATAATAATAATTTTTTATTTATACCCTGCCCTCCCCAGCCAAGACTGGGCTCAGGGCGGCTAACAACCAATAATAAAAACAAGTTGATTAAAATACAATTTAAAAGATTAAGATACAACATTAAAACATTAGGATGCAGCCACTTCACAGGAGGAGAAAGGAAAAAGAAAGAGGAGGAGGGAATCAAACTGATTCCAAGCCAAAGGCCAGGTGGAACAACTCTGTCTTACAGGCCCTGTGGAAAGAAATCAGATCCCGCCGGGCCCTGGTCTCATGAAACAGAGAGTTCCACCAGGCTGGAGCCAGTGCTGAGAAGGCCCTGGCTCTGGTTGAGGCTAATCTAACTTCCTTAGGGCTTGGGACTTCTTTGCTGTAGATAATGAGCTAGATGGACTTTTGGTCTAACTCCATATAAGGCAGATTCCTGTGTAAAGAGCTGGGGAAAAGACTGAACCCAAACCTACTCCAGTTGAGATTGTTCCTCTTTGAAGGTGTCCCATAGGAGAAACCAGGTGCCTGGGTGGGATCTTTGTTTACAGCTGACATCAAAGCCTGTTGTGTGGCAGGAATCTCTGCCATGGAACCGATTCAGGATATCCTGGGGTTGGCCTGCAACAAAAACAGCACCAGGCCGACCCAGAGTGTTGCTGTAATAGCTACCGGAGCCCTTGCCCTCTTGTCTGAGCAGCAGGCCCCGGCTGCAGGAGATAGGCTTATAAATAGACTGCAGAGATCCCGTATTTTTCCTGTTGAACAACAGCCACCCCTGCTGTGGCCAGCAAGGCAGGAAAAAGGTGTTTCCTCATGGCAAGGTCTGCTGTGGGACCTGATGGGGCCTCTCTCTGGGTGCCAGATGGGGCAAGATAAGAGCAGCAGGGAGATGAGGTTTCAACCACGAACACCCCAGCATCTGCTTGGGGCTTCAGCACTTTGTCACCGAGTCCTGTGGGACAGCCAGAGCCTCTGCTTCCCCAAGAAGCAAGTGCCTGAGACCAGATACCTCCTGTCTGCCCTTGGGCCAAACAAGACTTCCCATCCCAGATGGCCCCAGCATCTGCCTGCTGTATCCATACGCTGTTGCTTATTGGTCTACAGGCTGCCGGGAAGAAGAGCACTGCAGCCGACTCCCAGTAAGCAACTTGGTAAGACACACAGCTGCTCGCCCTGCCTCCTCTTTGCTTTGTCATCTGCTTGCAACTGCTGCTGGCATTTTTTATTCATAGGCAGGAGGCAGCTTCCTTATATACAGAGTCAAGATAGTTTGGTCCACCTAGGATCGTTTAGAGATGAATGAGCAGTGGCTCTTCGGGAAAAGAACGTTCCCAGCCCTATCTGGAGAGTGAAACTGGGACCCTTTGCATGCAAGGCAAACAGGGGGTCTCATGTATTTCTTCGCTCACCCCTGAGCCAGAGTTCTGAGAATATCCATGAGCACTGAATAAAGGCAGCTTTTAAAAGTCATCCTCCTTGTTCCTCTGTGGGGAAGAATCCTTCCATGAGAGATGAGTGTTTCTTTTTAAAAAATTATATATAAAAAACCAATTTAATAAATCATTCCCAATATTTGCTCAATGCAGATTTAGTTGTTGTTTCTTCATGGAGTTGATGTTGTGCTTTGCAGGGTGGGGGAAACCCTGTCACTTTATTTTAGCAACTGTGAAGGTCGGCGGTTCGAATCCCCGTGACGGGGTGAGCTCCAATTGCTCGGTCCCTGCTTCTGCCAACCTAGCAGTTCGAAAGCACGTCAAAGTGCAAGTAGATAAATAGGTACCGCTCCGGCAGGAAGGTAAACGGCGTTTCCGTGTGCTGCACTGGTTCGCCATAAGCGGCTTAGTCATGCTGGCCACATGACCTGGAACTTGTACAACGGCTCACTCGGCCAGTAAAGGGAGATGAGCGCCGCAACCCCAGAGTCGTCCGCAACTGGACCTAATGGTCAGGGGCCCCTTTACCTTTTTAAGGTAGGAAAGAGGCACACCAGGAGGGGTTGGATGTGGGTAGTTGCTGGGGGCTCCCCTGCATGGTTATCTCTGCTTGGTAAGCCTGCTTTTAATT